AGTCAGTCAGAGTTTTGAGAGGAAGGAAAACAAAGAAAATAAATGTTCGTCGGTCGCCGTCACCCAAGTAACTGTCGGCCCTGCCCTACTGCGCACGCGCAGTAGTTGCTTCGTTTACCACACGATAGATGGCGCTTGGCTCTCAGCATTATCAAATTTGGCAATTTTCGCCACACATCTCTTATTATGCTACAAAATGTGGATCTGAATATTTTTTAACAAAACTTTTAGGAAACATTCGCCGGCTATTTATTGTTTACGATCGCGGTGCTGGTGAGGTAAGCTCTTACCCAATAGGCGACCTGGATTTGGCTGACGTGCTTCATTTCCGCGGATGCATCGTAGTGAACAGGCGAAGGAAGGAAGGCGCAAAAGAGTCCAGTTTTCTTTTAAAAGTTCTAAGCAAAAACATTTTTTTGGCTCCCTATTTTTGTGTTTTTGTGTTTTTTTTCACACCTTTTACGACGTGCGGTGGATGAAACTCGATTTTAAAATCATTTCATGGTCCCTTCAATCAAAAGTTATAAGTGATTTTCTGAAAAGTTCAATGGAAAAATGGAGCCCATTTTTGACCGTTTTCGGTTTCTGATGCCATAGAGCCCCATGTGTTTGAAAACTCCGTCAGCCGCCATTTTCCCATTGAACTTTTCAGAAAATCACTTAAAACTTTTGATTAAGTTATCGGATCGGGCTGAAACTTTGGCATCTGCTTGTGACCTCTAGCTCTACCTTTGGGCGGAGAATGAGGGTTCGGCGATGCCTAGTTTATTTTTGCGGTAAAAAAGATGGTGTAAATTTTCTTTTGTGACACCCTGTACTTCCGCGGGAAATATTGCATCCGTCGTTCTTCGCCTTCTTGAAGCTATGAACTACCGATCACAGCTACCGGACTTTCGGGTCCAAAAAATATCACGCTCAGTAGAAAATTGGCCTTTTCTACCAAAAGTACTGGAAATTATTTATTTTTCATACAGGTCGGGTGGTGATGCGTGTTTGAGTGTATAGGACCGTTAACTGGGCACTGGTTTGCGCCAAGAGTGTAGTGCTTCCTTTCATGCTGCCTGCGACGAGTGTTGAAATTTGAATATAGTAGAAATAAAATCAACTGACACTCTTAGAATTATATTAAACTTGCGCTTTCTTCAGGCATTAAGATTTCGATCGTACCTTTTATTCATTGCCGTCTTCGATGAGGGAACAGCTTGCCGAGGAGGCCGCGCTGTCCGCGTACGCGGCTTGACAGATAAGGTCGCGAATGCTATTCACGAATATTTATAAAGACCAAGCATAAAAATGAAAGACTTTACAAATCTCAGTAACGCGAAATTAGAGCGCAGCCACTTTACGTCAATGAAACCAACTTTATGTTTTGGGCAGACGTCTTGCGAGAGTTGCAGTATTTTTATTTATGCCTAATAAATTAAATGTTTAGGACTAAGTACCAAACGTTTTAAATTGTATTAAGTACCGAAATGTCAATTGGAAAGTTCTAGAGCTCCTTGAGAAACACCCGAATTAGCTGTTTGCAACGTGATACGGCTCGCGTCGCTTCCTTCTGACTAGTAATAAAGCTTATGAAACATGACAAAATACCCCGTGATAAAGCGCCCGCCCCATCATAAACTCAATTTCGAAGGTTTGGGGATTTGTTTTTTTAGGCCGGAAAAAAAAGAAAGAAAAAGAGATGCATGCAAGACGCGTGCCTTACGCTTTATTTATATCAGAAAAGAACTTCCCTCTGTTTTATATACAACGTTGGATTTTTTTTTTTACCTACTAGATATCAGAAAAAACGCGCAAATTAACGTTTTGTGGATGAGAGCTATACGGCCAGGCGAAGATTGGGTTCAAAACAGAACGCAACAAAAACCGACTGATTACCGAACATTTGTTAATGAACTTTTTGATTATAAAAGAAAACGGGATAGTCGATTCATAAAGTTGTTGGGCATATTTGAAAGCCACCAAATTGTCCAGTGAAAATTATCACCATTGCGGTTTGTGTAGGTGAGCTATACGGCCAGGCGAGGATTAGGTTCAAGAATGAACGCAACTAAAACCGACCGATTTCCTAAAATTCACTAATTAACCTTTTAATTAAAAAAGAAAACGGCATCGTGTATTTAAAAAGTTGTTGGCCATAATCGCAAGCAACCAAACCGTCCATTCCTAAAAAGATGTAACGCGCGTACACTATTGTACGGCGTCCTGATACGGCGTCCTCCTAATTTGGGCGCGAAAATATAGTTGTGATTTTATGTGGGCTCCATCTTCGCGTGGCACAGCCTAACGCCATGAAGCCAAAGCGACAAATCATGCGCATCGCTGTGACAACGCCACTGTAGAAGGGGCGAGGAGTGGGGCGGCCGAAAAGATTGCGGTAACACGATTCGCGTCCAAATTAGGCTTTTTAGGACGGCAGGGGGGGGGGGGGGGGGGAAACGGACCATTTCACGTGCACTACATCTCTTTCAAAATTAATGATTTGGTGTTTTTGATGACGACAGATAAGGCACAAACCGCAATTCCGTAACTCTGACGTCTTGTTTAGAAAAATGTGTAGTCGTTAAAAAAACCGCCCTGTATAAGCACGACTGTAAGGCAGTTCTTTACGTCCGGCGACATCATTACAGCATGGAAGGAGACGTTGACCACAGAGCATACGCTGTGTATGATCTGTGGTCACTGTTTTTTTTTTTCGTACGAGAATGAGCAAACATTTGATACCAAATAAAATAGATTTAGCATTCACCAAATTCGGCTTGTTTACTTGATTCAAATCGATATTTGATTTGATTACACTTATTTTGTACCCGCACACGCCTACTTTATTTCCTAATGAGTTACAAGTGATAATTACACTTTGTTTTGTCGTGCGAGGTCATCAAAATTTATGACTAACAATCGGAGCTATGCGATTACGCAGAGGAGGTGCATTTGAAGATATTCAAAATTGTTCTGAATACACAAACAACTACAAACGTCTTGCTGTTTGGGTCCTTTCCAATAATAAAACCAAAACCTTATAGTGGAGACTATCTCTATCAACTTAACGCACAAACACGATGTGAAGCGTGTCTGCGTATGTTGGAGAGAGATACCGACGAGGGGAAAACCAAGCGTCGAATGTCCATGCATCAAAATGTCCGTGCACCGAAATATCCGCGCACCGAAAAGCCCCACACCGAAAACTCCTAAAAATTCGCACCGAAATGAACTACAGCAAAACGCTCTACACCGAAAAGTGCTAGACCCACTACGAATGGGATCCTCCGTTACCTCTGCCGGTTTACGAACCATAATGATTCAGAACCACTGGTCTATGGAGCGCCATCCCTGATATACAGAAAACGCCACTCGTACTTCCCGTTGTCGCCATGAATCCGCCTAAACAACGAAAGATGCCAAATCAGATGATTACATTAAAATTTATACTTCAATTACTACTTCTTTGAGCACAACAAGGTATTTGTGCTCTCACTACAGCAAGAAGTGTCCTCCAAACCAATGCTAAAAAAGAGCCAATGCAACTCGTTGGGCAGAGCAAGTGCCAAGCTCGCTCAAAACAGCTACTCGGTTGGTTCAGCTCCTTGTCGCAGGTGTGCCGGCTGGCCTCTGGATAATCTTTTGAAATCCTTGAAGCTTTCATTTCCTCCACCCCAAACTTGTCAAAAAAAGAAAACCAGGCAGCCAGCAAAAAAACAAAAACAACAACAAAATCGGAACATGGCGAGGAGAAAACGAGAGGCGATTTCCTCCTTTCACAGTGGCGAGAAGGAAAGTGAGGGTCGGGTTCCTTCTCTCTGCTTGCGGGCCGGCCTTTAAGATGACCAGAACGTCGGGGCTCAAGGTGTGATACTTAAAAGGGCCCGCTGTACTAGAAATGAAACTTGTTAACACAGAGGTTCGGGCGAGTTGGTTGCTCATGATGTACAGGGGGAACAGCGCACCGCAGAACAGTCATTCAAATCAACATACACACAAAAGAAAGAAACACTTACTCAGCGCTGACTGACAACTCTCTATGGGGGATCGGTGGCCGCATTCCAATTTCGAACGTCGTCGAAAGCACACGCGGAATCATGAGCTCCGTTGGAGCTGAGCAAGCGTCCCTGCTTGGACGCTGTGATATGGCTTTGGATCTTCCTGCTGACTATCGGTTTATTCTGCCGACGCTACCGGCGAATGACTTATCGAAATGCACGGCATTTCTGCACGCTGACATCGGAGTGCGGCCGTACCGCATTGAAGATTTCAGGTAACCTTTGCGGCAACTTGGCGTCCTGAGCGACGTGACCGGTATGGGGGTGTTCCAGATGGGGCACGTTTGAATTGTCCGCCTCATGTCGACTGCCGCCAAGGAGAAACTGATGATGTCTGGCACGTTCAAGGTGAAAGGAGGTTGGTGTGTGCCGATGGACCCCGATCGACGAGAGGTCCGACTCAAGCTTCACTGGGTGCCTTTCGACGTGCCCAACGAAGCCCTGAAAAGGGCACTGGAGGAGTTTGGCGTGGTGAGAGAGATAATCCGAGAAAAATGGCACATCGACGGGTTTGACGGCATCGAGTCGTCGACCCGGGTGGCGCGGCTGTCACTGAAGGAAGGCATGACGCTGGAACGCTTGCCTCACCAGCTTCGGTTCACCAGCGGCCCTGTACTTGTGGTTGTTCCAGGACGTGCACCAATGTGGCTGCGGTGCAAACGGTCTGGACACATTCGCCGTGATTGTAGGGCGCCTCGCTGTAGTGAGTGCCGTGGATATGGTCACGAACGCCAAGACTGCGTTCGATCCTACGCTCGTGTCGCAGGAGGACGCCAGGCCGAGGAAGACACGAACGAGCTTGTGATGGACGAACAAGAGGCGGAACAGGCGGCGGCGCCCTCAACGCAAGCGTCTGTAGCGTCGGCGACTTCAAAGGCAACAGTAACCGCTAGCAAGGAGTGCGAAGGGAAACCTGACGGAGAAAAGGAGCCTTTTGTGGTCACAGCGCCAACCGAGATGCCGACCACGAAGCTCCAGGACACCACGGGGGATTTCGAGCACTCAGCCGGTTCGGATGCAGCTACAGTAGAGGAAGCAGCGGAGAATACGGCTACGTGTAAGGAAAAGGAAGTGGCACCGGAGAACAGCCCCAGCGAGGAAATGTCCCTGGACGCGATCACTTCGAAGCGGCGACTAGAGGACTTGGGTGCACGCAGTGCTGCTGCCAGCGAGCAGGCACTGCGACGCCTGGAATATCAGTGGAAGCTCGCCGGGAAAAAAGGACGCTATACGACACGCAGCCGCTCGCCGTCGAGGGCTCGTGAAGACCGGCTGTCACAGTAAGCTGGTTCCCCGCTACCCCCTGATTGGCAAGTGTCTGATAGCTGGCACAAGGTCATAAGCTCCTAAGTTTTTAAAGCTATGAAACAGCTCGAGGTCGCACTGCGTATAGCTACCCTGAACGTAAGAGGACTGTCTGCAAGGCGAAGGCAGTGCCAGCTCAGAAGGTTGTTCTTGGAAAACGACCTCGACGTGATAGCGGTCCAGGAAACCAAGATTGAGAGCGAGGAGCAGACCGAGCAGATGGTGCGCCAATTTGAGTCGCGATACGATGTATGCGTAAGCCATGCGGTAGGGAGGTCGGGAGGTGTATGCATCTTTTTGAAAAATGCTTTAGGTATTATTGTTGAGAATGTTGCTTCGCGTGAAGATGGGAGAGTCGTGTATTGTGATATTTGCTTTTCAGATCAAAAGTTTCGTATAATCTGTATCTACGCGTCGACTGTAGAGACGGAACGATGCCATTTTTTTGAAAGTATAGCGGAATATTTAAAGTGCGAACGACTGCTTGTGGTGGTGGGGGATTTTAACAGTACATGTGCTCCAGAAGACAGGACCCCTCATAGTCGCCGGAGGGATAGCAGTGCCGATGTCTGGAATGAACTGGTAAATGAGGATTACTTGGAGGACGTGGCACATTGCGGAAAGGGCACGAAGGGCGTGCAGTTCACACATTTCCAAGGAAGTAGCCACGCACGGCTAGACAGAGCATACGTGTCAGTTGAGCTAGTTCCGCTGTGTGGACACTATAGTGTCGAGCAGGTGTGCTTTAGCGACCACTGCCTTGTGACTTTCGGGTTAGGATCAAAAAGAAAAGAACGACACCGATTTGATTGGCACAACTGCAAAATAAATTACAAGCTCCTTGACGACGAGGTGTTTAACGACAAGATAAATGCAAGGATTGAAAATTTTAGGAACATCTGCGGGAGCGAGATGACCGGAGAATGGGAAGAATTTAAACGAGTAGTTAAAATGGACGCCATAGAAAGATCAACCATTCTAAAGTACGAGAAAGAGAAAGAGGAAAAGCAGCTGCGTTCAACTTTAAAGGAGCTTGTTCTAGAAGAGTGTAAATCCCCCGGGTTATTTATAGATGACATTAATAAAATAAAAAGCAAGCTACAGCTCATGGATACTGAGCACTACAGAGGTGCGATAATACGTGCCCGGGCAGAAAAGTTTCTCGCGGGTGAAGCACCAACAAAACGAGCGTTAGCCACAGAAAAGAGATACGCACGCGCCAATGAAATAACTGAAATTGATTATCAGGGTACCACGACGCGTGACTCTAGCATAATTGAGGGAGCCTTTCTTGAATTCTACGAAAACTTACTGAGCCACAAAGCCCCAAAAGAAGAAGGTTTCACAGAAAATGTTTTGCCCCTTCTGCCAAAGATAGGTAGTGAAATAAAAGAATGGTTAGAACAGCCGATAGGTGTGTCCGAAGTAGAAAGAGCCATTGATGATTTGCAAAGCGGAAAATCACCGGGCCCTGATGGTTTGGGTGCTGCCTTTTATAAAAAGTATAAAAAACATTTAGCTTGTATTTTGTTACAAGTGTACCGCGAATGTTATGAAAACCAAGTTTTTCCCCCTTCCTTTTTATTTACCCACACAGTCCTTATCCCCAAAAGTGAAGACTCTAATAAACTTCGTAATGTAGCCAATTACCGGCCCATTACACTAGCTAATACGGACTATAAGATTCTAATGAAAATCCTTGCGAGACGAATGCAATTGGTTATTGGAGATGTGGTGGGAGAACATCAAACGTGCGGTATCAAGGGACGTACGATTATGAGTAACATTCATGTTGCGCGTAGTGTGTTGGAACTATGTGATGCTAATTTCCGGAAAGTTGCTCTGTTGCAAGTCGATCTTGAAAAAGCTTTTGATCGAGTGTCCCATGATGTTCTTTTTTGCATTCTAAACCATGTTGGCGTGGGTAAAATTATTTTTGATGGAGTAAAGATGGCCTATAGTAGCTGCACGACTAGTCTTGTAATTAACAAACAAGTAACTAAACGCATTTCTGTGTTATCCTCTGTTCGGCAAGGGTGCCCACTTTCGCCGTTGTTGTTCGCCATATTTCTTGAGCCCTACTGCCTAAGTGTCATAAAGAGTGGGAACATACGTGGTTTTTCTTTAAATGCATGTGATGTTAAAATATTAGCGTACGCTGATGATGTTGCGATTTTTTGTAGTGATAGAGAAAGCGTCTCAGCGGCTGTTCAACTCACGAGATCATATTGCGCCCAGACAGCGTGTGCTGTGAACTGGGCGAAATGCTTGGGGATCTGGCACGGCCACAGGGACGTGACTCCGCGTGTGTTTGAATCTATTCAGTGGTCTACAGAGCCCGGCGTATACTTGGGAGTGCCTTTGAACAATTACCGTGAAAGCAACGAGCTCTGGCGTAACAAAACAGAGGAGATGAGTCTTAAAGCCGCGAAGTGGGGTGGCAAGGAATTTTCTATCTTCGCACGGGCAACAGTGTGTAATTTATTTTTTGTTGCAAAGATTTGGTACCTGTTACAGGTTCTGCACTGCTCTCGTGTGCATTTGCAACGCATGCACCGGGTGATGGCCGTGTACATATGGAAGTCTACCTGGGAAAGGACTAGACGAGGTAACTTTTTTCGCCGCGTGAAGTCGGGTGGGCTTAGTTTGTCGCATTTGTTCATACGACAGCTGGTATCGAGGTTTTTCTTTTTGCGAGACCAGGCTGACCCGTTTCTGAGAACTGTCATTCAAGTACGGTTGTTCAGAGAGTTACCCGAGTTCATTGTTTCGACGTGTGACACATGTGAAGGCCAAGTAACGGGCTTTCTTAGAGAGGTTGTTTGTGCGTACCAATTTCTTAGTGTGCGATTTTCAAGAGAGTACTTAAACTTTGTCACACGAAAGCGTCTGAAGCGAGATCTTGTTGAATGCCTGTTTCCCGTCCCATTGTATCGCTCTTTGTTCTCCGACAGTACTGACCGTGATGTGCTTTCCCGCGTGAAAAGAATGCTAGTTCCCGGATCTGTGAAGACCTTTTATTTTAAACTACATACCAACACGCTTCCAGTAAAGACATGGTTAGCAAAAAAGGGCATGTTTGTACCATGGAGCGAGGATTGTATTTTGTGCAAGAAACCGGAGACCGTGGAGCACGTGTTCCTGGACTGCTGGGATGCTATCCTGTTCTGGGACGTGCTCCAACGCACTCTTAAAAAAGACCTACCGCTCACGGCTCGGGGAATACGCTTTTTGTCTGTGGAAGGGACGCCTTTCCCATATGATCTCAAATTTTTACTGGGCCTGCATGCTATTTGGAGATGTAGGATGGCAGTTCGTCACGCGGATCTGGATGCCCGTCCAGTACGGTATTATTTCATTGAAAATATAAACTTGATAGCAGCTGTCTACGAGAAAGTATGTCTGGAACTGGAGTGGTTGCCGGCATTTTTGAAGCTGTCGATGATGAGAGAATTTTAACAATTCTCACCGCCTCTCCAAACCTTACAGGCGACGTTCTATCGTCGCCTTCACTAGCGTCGTCAATATAATATTGCACATGTTCAAGTGAAATTTATCGTGCATTGTGAATCTTTGTTCACTGTCAAAATCTTGCAATAAAGAAAAAAAAAAAAAGGATCGGTGGCCGAGTGGTCTAGCGCACACCAGCTCGGAGCACGTGGAGCGAAAGCTCGCGCTGCAGAACCCAGGGATCCTGGGTTCGAGCCCCACCCCTGCCAGTTTCGATCTGGATGAGCATCGTACCGGCGTGCGATCGTGTATCACTACTGCGTGATGCACGTTAAAGAACCCAGGCTAGCGGCTGTACCGCACTGGCTAAATTGCTCATCTACAGCTGGGAGACTCGTCGCCCCAGTGAGGCAGACCAAGTTCTAGGCTGTATAAACACACACACAACCCAATTTTTTGACAACTCTCTATATTTACACTTTCTCTTGTTCTATTTGTGCTATATGCAAGGGCCAGGGAGAATAACTGGTCTTTTTTTCTTTTCTTTCGATATGATGCTAAATAGTGAACTAAATTGAAATTAATGTAAAGCTAGGTAGTCTAATTCTTTTTGTGACAAGGTTAAAGACGGAGTACTAACGCATGTGCCGTTGTGTTTCGAAATGTTCTCTGCCTCGATAATTTCTCTTGTGAGCTTGTTATGATGCTTGCCAAGCACGCCACAGTTACTCAGCTGCACTGAGCACCCACAGTGCAGCTGAGTAACTGCGGCGTGCTTGGCAAGCATCATAACAAGCTCACAAGAGAAATTATCGAGGCAGAGAACATTGCGAAACACAACGGCACATGCGTTAGTACTCCGTCTTTAACCTTGTCACAAAAAGAATTAGACTACCTAGCTTTACATTAATTTCAATTTAGTTCAATATTTAGCATCATATCAAAAGAAAAGAAAAAAAGACCAGTTATTCTCCCTGGCCCTTGCATATAGCACAAATAGAAGAAAAGAAAGTGTAAATATAGAGAGTTGTCAGTCAGCGCTGAGTAAGTGTTTCTTTCTTTTGTGTGTATGTTGATTTGAATGACTGTTCTGCGGGTGCGCTGTTCCCCCTGTACATCATGAGCAACCAACTCGCCCGAACCTCTGTGTTAACAAGTTTCATTTCTAGTACAGCGGGCCCTTTTAAGCATCACACCTTGAGCCCCGACGTTCTGGTCATCTTAATAGCCATCTGCGTGTGTCAAGCAAGAAGTTACGGTGTAGTGATTATGTTCACGGCCGTCCTTCATTCAGAGATGGCACCACCTACAATGCGCCGATTGCACGTGTCACGTGTTGTATAAAACCACGGGCCGCGTGACGGCAAGACATGATTCGGCCACCAAAAATAT